CCACTACTACAAAACTACTACACCTCTACTACACTGCTAACTACACCACTACTACAAAGCTACTACACCACTACTACACTGCTACCACACCACTACAAAACTTCCTAGAGAGACTACCACATTACGTCCCGGGGGCCCCCTCCATAGAGGAGGGGCTACTACACCAGTACTACACCGTTATCACACCACTACTACAGTGATTTCCACTAGCTCCTGGGTCCCGTGTGGAGTGGCTGCCCTGCTGCATTGTGAACACAGGAGGTCGTCATTCAGAGATCCCAGTTGTACTTTCTCAGCCAATGCGAGGAGCTCTGTGATTGGACGAGGTGGAGAACATAGGACTGGGTGGAGTCGGTATGAGATGATCCCGGGAGAACCCGGGATATCTCTGCTTGTTGTTCTACATTCTGAGTGACGAGGACTTTGCACATTCCAGGCCGGGGCTGACCGTCCAATCAGGACCAAGTCTGGTCTCTTTAGATGACTACCTCTGTGACCAAGCCCCCCGGTGGGCGGGGCGAAGCACATCAGCGGGGCGTGACCAGAGCGGTGGCCAAGGCCATTCCTCAACATTGGACTCCTGGGGTGGGTTGAGTGGCGCCCATCCCTTCCTTTGGATTGGCTGACACTGGAATCGATCGGACTCGTGGTCTCCTCCTCTCACTTGCCGGTGGGACGATCCTTCTCCTTCCATCCACAGCTGGGAGCCGCAAGGTTTACGTTTTGATGATCTTATACTGAAGGAATGGGATGGTAAACGAACTACGAGGGGCATTCCGGTCCAAGCGGGACTCTTCATTTTCCAGGTACAAGGGATGCTGGCATGGCGCTACTACATGTAGTAGTAAGTGGCAAGTGTGTCCTATAGGCAGTGAATGTGTCGCGCGGGCCAGTCCAGAGACCGTGAATCAAGATGGCAGACAGCAGTGTTAGTGCGTGCATGGAACCGCGTGCATGGAACCGCGTGCGGTGATGATGTTTCTTGTGTAAAACCCGTGGAGATCTACAGAAGACTTCAAGTGCAGTACGGCGATGAGACGCTCAGCCGCAGTAAGATATTCGAATGGTGGAAACCAGGGGCGGACTGACAACTCATGGGGCCCCCGGGCAATAGGGGATCATGGGGCCCGTGTTCTTGCCCAAACTCAAAAAAGCCTGTGTAAAAGGTACCAGGGGCACCTCATGGGGCCTCCTCTACTGACCCCAGGCCCTCGGCAGTACCCAAGTTTCCAAATGGTCAGTCTGCCCCTGGTGGAAACATTTCAAAGATGGCGGTCCGTCCGTCAGTCAAGATCCCGGTTGTGGCGGTTCCAGTCATTCCTGTGAACATTCAGCGCGGGGAACGCCTGATCCTGGACCATCAATCATGAAGTTGCACAAGAGATGAATCTTCCCGTGGGAACGGTGACCACAATGATGGAGGTGAAGCCGGCTGTCCTAGGAGGGTTCAGGCGTCCCGACAAATCTCTCTACACCAAAGTTTTCCAGGCATTAGTGACAGGCTGGGATGAGGGTATAAATGTAGCAGAGGAGGATGGCAAAAAATAAATGCAGTTTCCACTCCTTGAAATTTGTTCTTTTAATTTATAAACTCAAAAGTCCCGATGTGACCTGAACAGCCCTCGTATTTGGACCAATCTCCTTTTGGGAATGGGGCATCTTCCTTAGGAGGTCATACTGTTGCTTGCAAAGGGAGTTGGCGTGGAGGTTGTCTGTTCCCCGCATTCACTATATCCGGTCTCTCCGGACCCCGTATTCACTATATCCGGTCTCCCCGGACCCCGCATTCACTATATCCGGTCTCTCCGGACCCCGTATTCACTATATGCGGTCTCCCCGAACCCCGCATTCACTATATCCGGTCTCTCCGGACCCCGTATTCACTATATCCGGTCTCCCCGGACCCCGCATTCACAATATCCGCTCTCCTCGGACCCCGCATTCACTATATCCGCTCTCCCCGGACCCCGCATTCACTATATCCACTTTCCCCGGACCCCGCATTCACTATATCCGCTTTCCCCGGACCCCGCATTCACTATATCCGCTTTCCCCGGACCCCGCATTCACTGTATCCGCTCTCCCCGGACCCCGCATTCACTGTATCCGCTCTCCCCGGACCCCGCATTCACTGTATCTGCTCTCCCCGGACCCCGCATTCACTGTATCCGCTCTCCCCGGACCCCGCGTTCACTATATCCGCTCTCCCCGGACCCCGCGTTCACTATATCCGCTCTCCGCAGACCCCGCATTCACTATATCCGCTCTCCCCGGACCCTGTATTCACTATATCCGCTCTCCCCGGACCCCGCATTCACTATATCCGCTCTCCCCGAACCCCGCATTCACTATATCCGCTCTCCGCAGACCCCGCATTCACTATATCCGCTCTCCCGGACCCTGTATTCACTATATCCGCTCTCCCCGGACCCCGCATTCACTATATCCGCTCTCCGCGGACCCCGCATTCACTATATCCGCTCTCCCCGGACCCTGCATTCACTATATCCGCTCTCCCCGGACCCCGCATTCACTATATCCGCTCTTCCCGGACCCCGCATTCACTATATCCGCTCTCCCCGGACCCCGCATTCACTATATCCGCTCTCCCCCGGACCCCGCATTCACTATATCCGCTCTCCCCGGACCCCGCATTCACTATATCCGCTCTCCCCGGACCCCGCATTCACTATATCCGCTCTCCCCGGACCCCGCATTCACTATATCCACTCTCCCTGGATCCCGAATTCACTAAAAAGGGTTCATACACACAGCCTCAGCTGCTGTAATATCCAGATGGATGTTATTAAATGCAGAAATGGGGTCACCTGGCGGGTGGGCTCCTCCTCTCGGAATATAAACGGACTCTGGAATTTCTGTTGTAATACAGCGATAGTCACCAGATTCACGGAGCGGAATTTAATCTGCAAGAAAAAGCAACGGCCATTAGAGGAAATCATTGGTCGGGATTAGCTGAGATTGACAAAAAGGAAATGAAAAAAAAAAAAAACATTTTGATGGAATAAGGGAGGGCATACGTGTGATGTAGCTCCGCCCCTACATCCACCTGCAGGACCTGTTTGAATCTATAAATAGAAAGCTAGAGCCACCTCCCTCGTACTTGTAGGTCAATGGACTTCGATGGAATGACGGTCCAGGTTTCCTTGTCCATTGTAATAAAGTTTGAGTAGGTATTTTAGCCCTCCCTGTTTAGCTCGTTATTTGCCAGATGTATGCTGCCATGTTGGTGTCAGGAAAATTGTATCAAATACTTACCGTAATTTCCAGTCTTGGAGCCAATCCATAGCAGTCTACTACCACATGTGTGCTGCCATGTTGGTGTCAGGAAAATTGTATCAAATACTTACCGTAATTTTCCAGTCTTGGAGCCAATCCATAGCAGTCTACTACCACATGTGTGCTGCCATGTTGGTGTCAGGAAAATTGTATCAAATACTTACCGTAATTTTCCAGTCTTGGAGCCAATCCATAGCAGTCTACTACCACATGTGTGCTGCCGTGTTGGTGTCAGGAAAATTGTATCAAATACTTACCGTATGTTTTCAATCTTGGAGCTAATCCACAGTAGTCTACTACCACATGTATGCTGCCATGTTGGTGTCAGGAAAATGGAAAATTGTATCAAATACTTACCGTCAGTTTTCAATCTTGGAGCCAATCCACAGTAGTCTACTACCACATGTATGCTGCCGTGTTGGTGTCAGGAAAATTGTATCAAATACTTACCGTAATTTTCCATTCTTCGAGCCAATCCATAGCAGCCTACTACCACATGTGTGCTGCCATGTTGGTGTCAGGAAAATAGAAAATTGTATCAAATACTTACTGTAATTTTCCATTTTTGGAGCCAATCCACAGCAGGCTACTACCACATAAATGATGCCATATTAGCGCCAGGAAAATGGAAAAAATTGTATCAAATACTTACTGTAATTCTCTATTCTTGGAGCCAATCCATAGCAGCCTACTACCACATGTATGCTGCCGTGTTGGTGTCAGGAAAATTGTATCAAATACTTACCGTAATTTTCCATTCTTCGAGCCAATCCACAGCAGCCTACTACCACATGTATGCTGCCATGTTGGTGTCAGGAAAATTGTATCAAATACTTACTGTAATTTTCCATTCTTGGTGCCAATCCATAGCAGCGTACTACCAGATGTATGCTGCCATGTTGGTGTCAGAAAAACAGAAAATTGTATCAAATACTTACTGTAATTTTCCTTTCCTAACGCAGATCCATGGCAGCATATGAACCCTCCCTTTTTTGATCTTGTTATTTTTACGGAGAACGGGGGAGGTTGCTCTAGTTTTCCTTTTATAGATCTGGCTTTGGGTGACCTTATGATCGGTCATGTGTGCCGGGTCGTTGTTTTTTTGTTGTTTTTTTTTTTTACCAACAGGCATCATGATTGATGCTGAATTTACATTTTTTGGTTCTTTTAAATTTTTCAATAGAGGACTGGTCAAATATTTGGGTATCTTTATATCTCATTCATAGAGGGTGGAATCCGTATCTAGGGGGCCCCATTATTGTTAAGGGGGCTTCCAGATTCTAATAAGCCCCTTGCCTGCAGACCCCCACAACTACTGGCCAGGATTGTGGGGAACAGGCCCTTCTACTCATCATCAAGGGGACAAGGTGCTTTGCTAGGGGGGTCCCTCTGGCACGGTACACCCCCATGTTGAGGGCATATGGCCTGGTATGCATGGGAGTGCCCAAATGGTCAGTCCGCCCCTGGACCGAGGTAAGTATGCAGTCATGCTCATAAGGTCTCTACAAGTGTTCTGGTTCTCTGGATGATCTTGGTCAGGGGTGTCAAACTGGTGGCCCTCCGGCTGTTGCGAAACTACAGGTACCATCATGCCTCTGCCTTTGGGAGTCATGCCTGTAACATTCAATCTTACAATGCCTCATGGGATGTGTAGTTTGGCAACAGCTGGAGGGCCACCAGTTTGACACCCATGATCTTGGTAATCATGCGATGGAAGACCGCACTCTCTTCCTACATCTGATGTTCCTTACCGCTTGGAATGTTCTGCTCCACAATCTTCCATGGAGGGTGAGGGTTGCTTCCTGATTGGACACCAAGCTCATAGTGCAATCAATGGAGATGACATCCGAGTTACTGTGATTCTGAAATAAATCATGTATTAATGAACATCACATTATTACCAAAATAATGAAAGTGCCCGGAAATACTAAGGAAGCTGAAGGCTAGAACTTTTAAACTTGGACCCACAATGGTAAAAATTGACACTAAGCCCCTCAATCACAGGGTTGACGCTGCAGACTCATGAATCACAGAGGATTGCTTCATGAGCAGTGGCTGGGCCGTGGTTAGCAGGCGATCAGGAGGTGATAGGAGGGAAAAGACATGGAGCAAAACCTGCGTAATGTAGTGAGTCGAATCCAGAAAATGTATTTTACAAAAATGTATGAAATGTACTCACAGGGGTTAAATGGTGGAATACCGCTGGGTCATTGCACCGTGAGGAAGCCAGCAATCTCTGACGGGAACATCTGTGACTGAAAACATTGATGATCCAGTGGTCACAGCATCACTGCCAGATAGTGAGGACAGTAGACAACCCTGGGTCCTCTCTCCTCTGACGTCACCCTTGGACATGAGGCATAGAATGCGTTTCAAGGTATCTCACATCTTCCTCAGCCCAAGTTTTCTCTGAGACATGTTGGCAGGCAGTATCGCCTGCTGAATGTGACATGGCCTACTTCTTTTGTAATGTTGCAGAGCAAAGCTTTGTGTGCAAATGTGCATGGGGCCATCCGGTGACCATTTGTCAGGATCTGGATCTGCACCTGCAATTTCTTCTGTGTCTGGCAGTATCTCTACTTGGTGAACCACCTGAGATGCTGAACAGCTCCCTCCCTGATGCCTTAGACCAGCCTTTGTCAACCAGGGTGCCTTCAGGCTTCTTCAGGGGCACCTTGGCAAAATGCCCAAAAATTGTATAATTTTTGTACTAAATCCTGCCCTTTAGTACACAAAGCCACACGTTTTGATTGTGCACTTTTATGACCTTCTAGCTGCCAGCATCCTAACAACCAATGACATCATTAGTTGATAAAGGAGGATGTCGGGTGCATGCAAATCATCCTTGTTTTCCTCTCTCCATCAGCACTGGGGTCACATTAGCAGAGTGAGGGAGAGAAAATGAGAGAGACACACTGGAACATTAGTCAGTATCAGTGTGAAAAGGTGTATTTGCTTTGGAAGAACAAATCACCTCTAACGTTGGGTGTACTGGATGTGTGTAGAATAGGTTTTTTTCATTTTAGATTGGGGTGCCTTGAGATTGTGCAGAATTTGAAAGGATGCCTTGAGATTATCCACAGTTTTAAATTGTGCCTTGACTGAAGAAAGGTTGAGAAACACGGCCTTAGACAACCTTGCCTTGTGTCATGGTTCTCTTGAACCCTTTGCTCCTCCCATGAACTTCCCGTTTAAGCCATATCTTTGCACTTCCTGCTTGTCAGATTATTGAGCTCTCTCCAGTCAATATCTCACTCTTGTCACTCCTGCTGCCAGCTGTATCTTGACTACCGCTCATTACCAACCTTTGGCTTGTTCCCAACCTGCAACCGCTCATTACCAACCTTTGGCTTGTTCCCAACCTGCAACCGCTTGTTACCAACCTTTGGCTTGTTCCCAACCTGCAACCGGTCGTTACCAACCTTTGGCTTGTTCCCAACCTGCAACCGCTCGTTACCGACCTTTGGCTTGTTTGCTGACTATGCTTCTGCTTGATCCCAACTGTCTATATCTGCTACTGGACCCCGGGCTTGCTCACCTCCTGGTGGGTTGATCCTGAGGACCACAACCTGGTACTAACACATAGCAAAACCCATCTCCACCATCAGGAGCTGTGGTGAACACTGGTGAAGTGCTTAGACTCCGCAGTTCGGGTGAGCCCGTGTTATCCGCCAGGATGACCTGCTTGTATACCTATCCTACTGGTCGGTGGGAACCTCTCTATCGCTAGAGCTAATGATACCCGAGCCTGACCCCTGACTGTGACACCATTACAGGTTTGGCAGGTTAAATATGTACCTCAGCTGCTTGGTTTTGCCACACCTACAACGTCCATGTGAAAAAGGCCTAGCTCACTTCAGTTTATAGACTGTTTGAGGACCTACTGATATTCCTGGAGCTTAGGAAGTTGCTATCAAATACCACCTATATATATATCATGTTATATGTGATATCAAGTATCACATAATATAAACTAGACTGGTAGTACTTGGACTGTTGGGGAGTTAGCCGCCGTTCTTCTGGCAAGGAGCCATTGCTGTAAAAGAGCCAAAGGAAGGCTGCAATGTTGGCACAGGAAGGGATGCAGAGTTCAAGGGTCAGTAGGAAGGGATGCAGAGTTGAAGGGTCAAAAGGAAGGGACGTAGCGTTCAAGGGTCAATAGGAAGGGATGCAGAGTTCAAGGGTCAATAGGAAGGGATGCAGAGTTCAGAGGTTAGCAGTAAGTGTTGCAGAATTCAGGGGTCAGTAGGAAGGGATGCAGAGTTTTTGTGCCTGGAGTTCAACTTTAACCCCTTGGCGCCGGCGCCTCCCAGCCCTTTAAGGGTTTCAGAAGCCGGGAGGCGGGGCAGGGTTTAGGGTCACGGCGGTCACATGATCAGGAAAGGTCCTGATCGAAAGAGGAGATCGGGACCTTTCTGTGAGTACCGGACGTGTGTTCTGGGAGCACACAGGGAGCGCACTCTCAGCACATATGGTTTTTTTTATTGCACGCAAATGTGTGGCCACTTGGCGTTAAGGCCCAGACGCCGGGAGGCCACACATTTGCGTAGGATAAAGATTCACGCTCCCCAGGAAAAGGGAATAATGAATTGTATTTAATAACCTCAGTGTCGTATTCCCAACCCTTCCCATCACAGGTCTACAGACATTACCAGCTGAGGTATGTGACTGATGTCCTCCTCTGATGGCCTCCTGCGGTAATCCGTGCTATTCCCCCAAACATTGCAGGTTTCATTCCCCTGGAAGAGAAGATGTCATTAGTGCTTTGGAAGGGACTAGGAGATCGATCTTCCAATAATACGGCTGGATGAAGTACCTGGTCACTGGTTAGTTGTTGTAAGAGGAGCAGGCGATTACCGCCACGGGTCGCCACCGGAATGGTGATCTTCATTGTGACATCCTCAGGGAAGAAGCCCAGATTTTGTATCTATGAAACATACTTAGGTTTATAGCAGACCTGGGGAGCAATTTTGTGCTATAATGCCTCTGAGCCCATAAATATAATTCAGGGGGATCAACACGATCTGAGCCTGATCAGCTTCATTGGTGTCCATAGGTGACATTAAAGTGTTACTAAACCCCAGACCCTGCATTCACTTAAACTGCTCTTCCCGGACCCCACACATTCACTGTATCCGCTCTCCCTGGACCCCGCATTCACTATATCCGCTCTCCCCGGACCCCGCATTCACTATATCCGCTCTCCCCGGACCCCGCATTCACTATATCCGCTCTCCCCGGACCCCGCATTTACTATATCCGCTCTCACCGGACCGCGCATTCACTATATCCGTTCTCCCCAACCCCGCATTCACTATATCCGCTCTCCCTGGACCCTGCATTCACTATATCCGCTCTCCCCGGACCCTGCATTCACTATATCTGCTCTCCCCGGACCCCACATTCACTATATCCGCTCTCCCCGGACCCCGCATTCACTATATCCGCTCTCCCCGGACCCTGCAGTCACTATATCCGCTCTCCCCGGACCCCGCATTCACTATATCCGCTCTCCCCGGGCCCCGCATTCACTATATCCGCTCTCCCCGGACCCAGCATTCACTATATCCGCTCTCCCCAGACTCTGCATTCACTATATCCGCTCTCCCCGGACCCCGCATTCACTAAATCCGCTCTCCCCAGACCCTGCATTTACTATATCCGCTCTCCCCGGACCCCGCATTTACTATATCCGCTCTCCCCGGACCCCGCATTCACTATATCCGCTCTCCCCGGACCCCGCATTCACTATATCCGCTCTCCCCGGACCCCGCATTCACTATATCCGCTCTCCCCGGACCCCGCATTCACTATATCTGCTCTCCCCGGACCTGGCATTCACTATATCCGCTCTCCCCAGACTCTGCATTCACTATATTCGTTCTCCCCGAACCCCGCATTCACTATATCCGCTCTCCCCAGACTCTGCATTCACTATATCCGTTCTCCTGGCAGCAGAAAGGTTAATAAGAGTGAGATGTAGAGCCGGAGAGGGTGTGGGGAAGTAGGTAGTCACTTACCTTAAAAGAGCAGTTGAATGGGGGCCCAATAGCATTGTATCTGTCAGCTGACCCTTGGGATGTGATCTCATACTGGTCCAGACTGGAGTGTCTGGGGTAGAAGAATAGAGGTGTTAGGAGGTGTTCAGGTCCTAGAATTGCACTTTTTAATAAACGTTCCTATCTCAGAGGTTCCTATTTCAGAGGTATATATTGTATGTTCCTATTTCAGAGGACTATACGTTCCTTTCTCAGAGGTCTATATCTTTCTGTCTCAAGAGTTTCTATTCTCAAAGGTCTATATGTTCTTGTCTCAGAGGTTCTTATCTCAGAGGTCTATACGTCTCCTGTCTCAGAGGTCTATACGTCTCCTGTCTCAGAGGTCTATACGTCTCCTGTCTCAGAGGTCTATTTGTTTCCTATCTCAGAGGTCTATTTGTTTCCTATCTCAGAGGTCTATCCATTCCTATCTCAGAGGTCTATACGTTTCTATCTCAGAGGTCTATACATTCCTATTTCATAGGTCTATACGTTCCTATCTAATAGGTTCCTATCTCAGAGGACTATACAGTACTATCTCAGAGGACTATACGTTCCTATCTCAGAGGTCTATATGTTTCCATCGCAGAGGTCTATATGCTGTTATCTCATAGGTTACTATCTCAGAAATCTATACGTTTCTATCTCATAGGTTCCTGTCTCAGAGGACTATACGTTCCTATCTCAGAAATCTATACGTTTCTATCTCATAGGTTCCTGTCTCTGAGGACTATACGTTCCTATCTCAGAAATCTATACATTTCTATCTCATAGGTTCCTGTCTCGGAGGACTATACGTTCCTATCTCAGAAATCTATACATTTCTATCTCATAGGTTCCTGTCTCAGAGGTCTATACATTCCTATCTCAGAGGACTATACATTCCTATCTCAGAGGGCTATACGTTCCTATCTCAGAGGTCTATATGTTCCCATCCCAGAGGTCTATACGTTCCCTATCTCAGAGGTCTATACTTTCCTATCTCAGAGGTTTATACTTTCCTATCTCAGAGGTCTATACAGTCCTATCTCAGAGGTCTATACATTCCTATCTCAGAGGTCTATACAGTCCTATCTCAGAGGACTATACGTTCCTATCTCAGAGGACTATACGTTCCTATCTCAGAGGACTATACGTTCCTATCTCAGAGGACTATACGTTCCTATCTCAGAGGACTATACGTTCCTATCTCAGAGGACTATACGTTCCTATCTCAGAGGTCTATACTTTCCTATCTCAGAGGTCTATACTTTCCTATCTCAGAGGACTATACGTTCCTATCTCAGAGGTTTATATGTTTCCATTGCAGAGGTCTATACGTTCCTATCTCAGAGGACTATACGTTCCTATCGCAGAGGTCTATACTTTCCTATCTCAGAGGTCTATACTTTCCTATCTCAGAGGTCTATACTTTCCTATCTCAGAGGACTATACGTTCCTATCTCAGAGGTCTATACATTCCTATCTCAGAGGTCTATACTTTCCTATCTCAGAGGACTATACGTTCCTATCTCAGAGGACTATACGTTCCTATCTCAGAGGACTATACGTTCCTATCTCAGAGGTTTATATGTTTCCATTGCAGAGGTCTATACGCTGTTATCTCAGAGGTTCCTGTCTCAAGATCGACTCTTCTTGATTGGCAGGCCTGTTAAGAACTATCAAGGAAACATTGAGACAGAACGTTAATATGTTCCATCTTCATCTTGACTCAAATATTTCCTTGATGACAAACATGTGTCACAGTCCATGGATAGAGTCCCACAAATAAGATTCCACCCGTGACTGGAAGCCCTCGCACATATCCGGCAGGTAATAAAAGTGGCTATTAATATGACCATGTGTCACATACACAGCCAGGCACCTCACTGGGAACGCTCCTCCTGGCTCCTGATTAAAGCACACAGTCTTCATTTCGGCACTTTTTGCATTCCCAGTCTCTGCTCTACTTGGGGGTCACCCAAAGTTCCTGAACTTCTGCTTCTTTGCATACCAGCTGGAAATCCAACAAACTGGAAAATAACTATTCGGTGGTGACACTTGCTAACACATGGTGGCCGAGTTACAAATACTGGAGCCACAGCCCATAGCAGCCAATCAGGTTCCACGCTAAACGATGATAAATGATTGGTGATTACCATTTTTTTACACTTTTTTTGGAAGGCAGCGCAGACCAAATGTACTTTTCCAACGGGGTCGTGGCTACCTACACTAAGCTGTCATTAGAAGAAGTACTCAGATGTCTCTATGGACTGCAGGAGGAATGGATGCCGGGGTATTGGGTGTACGGGATCAGGCAACACAAGAATCGTGCTCCTATAGGTTGTCTGTGTAGTGGTTGTACCGTATCAGATCTTAGCCTACATACAATATGGCCATCTTACTCCTCTATACTGCTGCCATATTGGCTATAGGCAGGGCTGCTGATAGAAACCAAGGGGGGGCCCATACAGCCAACCTGACAGGGCTCTCTCCCTTAACAAAAAACTAAACAAAACACAGTTTACTAGTCTTCAGTTATGAACGAACACAGTGAGTGATCAGTACCGATCACTCATTGTGTTCATTCAGAAAACAAAGGGGGCTGGTAACATATTTACCGGGCCCTTCCCCCACTTTTCATCCTCAAGGGTCCTATTGTGTGCTTGCAGTTGCCGGTGGAAAAGAGAGGAGGGAAGCTGGTAGCACTGTGGAGGTGGGGGGCACACAGGGGGGCCTGGGCTGTAGGGGAAAATGTATAGTGCAAAGGGAGGGTGATGGGTGTGGCGGAGGGGGGCAATTACTGGAACCGATCCCCTATAGGGCTCTCTCTGCAGCAGCTCCCAGTGGAAAGGAGAGGAGGGAAGCTGGTAGTATGGTGGAGGTGGGGGGCACACAGGGGGAAACGTATAGTGCAAAGGGAGGGTGATGGGTGTGGCGGAGGGGGGCAAATACTGAAACCAATCCCCTGTATGGCTCTCTGCAGCAGCTGCCAGCAGGAGGGAGAGGAGAAGAAGCTGGCTTTCAGCTGCCGTGTCAATCACCCTCCCTGCCCACATCCAATTCACCTAGCTGCCTGGGCCCCCCTGCTAGCCTGGGCCCCGTACAGGAGGACTGGTGGTACCCCCTTATCCATGGCCCTGGATATAGGGCACCATCTACATTGGAATCATGCTTCTATAGACTGAGGAGTGGCAGTAGTTATATGTATCAGCTCTTACTATACATACGGCATGATCATCGTACTTCTATATACTGCTGGAGGACTGGAACATCAGAGGCCTCCAAGCTACAGCCCAGGGGCCACATCCAGCTCACTACAAGATTTTATCTGGTCCGCAGTGAAGGTGGGCACAGATTGAGGAATAAGGTCACAAGAGGCTGCATGTGGTCCCGACTTCAACCCCCTCCCATGTAACTGATGTACGAATAACTCTGATGGGAACCCCGATGTAAGGGGGGACTTTCATATGAAGGGGATTCTGATGGGAACCATGTAAATGATGAGGACTTTCATATAAATATTTAATATGTCTTAGATCCAGGATAACAATCTACACATCCACATGCAGTAGAAGTCTCTGTACCTGGTGAACAGAAGATCCGACTCATACTTCAGGTTGAAGTGGAGGAGAACCTCATTGTCAGTGATTGTACTCTCCATTTCCTCACTGTCACTGTAAAGTCATACAATGATAATGATAATAATACAATGATAAGGAATAACAATAATAATAATAATAATACAATGATAGGGAATAACAATAATAATAATAATAATAATAATAATAATAATACAATGATAGGGAATAACAATAATAATAATAATAATAATAATAATATAATAATAATAAAATGATAGGGAATAATAATATATATTAATAATGATAGGGAATAATAATGATAATAATAATAATAATAATAATAATAAAAAATGATAGGGAATAATAATGATAATAATAATAAAATGATAGGGAATAATAATAATAATAATAAAATGATAGGGAACAATAATAATAATAATAATGATAATAATAATAATAATAAAATGATAGGGAATAATAATAATAATAATAATACAATGATAGGGAAAAATAATGATAATAATAATAATAATAATAATAATAAAATGATAGGGAATAATAATAATAATAATAATAAAATGATAGGGAACAATAATAATAATAATGATAGGGAATAATAATAATAATAAATAAAATGATAGGGAATAATAATAATAATAATAATAATAATAAATGATAGGGAATAATAATAATAATAATAATAATAATAATAAAAATGATAGGGAACAATAATGATAATATAATAATAATAATAATAATAATAATAATAATAATACAATGATAGGGAATAATAATGATAATAATAATAATAATATAGGGAATAAAATAATAATACATAGGGAACAATAATAATAATAATAATAATAAAATGATAGGGAACAATAATAATAATAATATAACAATAATAATAATAAAATGATAGGGATAATAATAATAATAATAATACAATGATAGGGAATAATAATAATGATAAAATAGTAATAATGTCTCATGTTATGTCCCCCTTGCTACTGTACAGCGCTGAGCATACCCTTTGGCGCTATATAAATACTGTATAATAATATAATAATAAATAATAATAATAATAATAAATAATAGGGAATAATAATAATGATAAAATAATATTAATAATACAATGATAGGGAATTGATACTTATTGATTATTGTAGAACTCTTTACCAGAGTTAAAGGCAACCATTCCTGAAACACTGAGCCCGGGTTCACACTGATGCGGTGTGGAATTCTGCACAGCATCATAATCGCACCCCGTTCATGTGAACCGCTGAGGGTGTGTATGTAAAAGTTAACGAAATCGGTTTGCAAAACGCAGTGTGATGTACAGAACTGGACCATATAGGTGTGAATACCCGTGCGACAAAAAAAAGGGTCCTGCATTATTTTGGTGTGGATGCGGTGTGATCTGATCCATACAAACTGTACGGCTCCAATCGCACCATGCGCAAATCACATGTGATTGACACAGGAATGCGGTTGGTTCCTGTATGAATCACATTAGATATACCGCACCACATATATGTGAACCCGGGATAAAGCTACCACTGCTGGCTTCCAGTTTTGAAAATATTATTATTATTATACAGGATTTACATTATTATTATTATACAGGATTTATGGCGCCGACAGTTTGCTCAGCACTTTACAATATAACGGGAGACAATACAGTAACAATACAGTTCAATACAAGAGGGATAGGAGGGCCCTGATCCTGGGAGCTTACAATCTAAGAGGGAGGGGCTAGTGGTACAGGACAATCTAAGAGGGAGGGGCAGACAACACCAGAGGTAACACCCGGGGAGGATACATTTATGAAGGAAGTAAAAGTGCAGGTTTGGGTGGATGGAGACTTCCCTGCAGAGGAGAGTTTGAGATATCCGGGTATGGAGTGGTCATTCAAGTAAAACTATAGCAATGATCTCCAAACTGTGGCCCGGGGGCATTATTCCCATAATTGTCAGCAACAGTGGGACATAGTTCCTGTCACTGACACCAACAATAGGACGCTTTTTGTTCCACTGATACCGATGCTGGGGCACTATTCCTCCCACTGATACCGATGCTGGGGCACTATTCCTCCCACTGACACCAATGATGGGGCACTATTACCCCCATTGATACCAATGATGGGGCACTATTCCTCCCACTGATACCAATGATGGGACACTATTCCTCCCACTGACACCAATGATGGGACACTATTCCTCCCACTGACACCAATGATGGGGCACTATTCCTCCCACTGATACCGATGCTGGGGCACTATTCCTCCCACTGACACCAATGATGGGGCACTATTCCTCCCACTGACACCAATGATGGGGCACTATTCCTCCCACTGACACCAATGATGAGGCACTATTCCTCTCACTGACACCAATGATGGGGCACTATTCCTCCCACTGACACCAATGATGGGGCACTATTACCCCCATTGATACCAATGATGGGGCACTATTCCTCTCACTGACACCAATGATGGGGCACTATTCCTCTCACTGACACCAATGATGGGGCACTATTCCTCCCACTGACACCAATGATGGGGCACTATTCCTCCCACTGACACCAATGATGGGGCACTATTCCTCCCACTGACACCAACGATGGGGCACTATTCCTCTCACTGATACCAATGATGGGGCACTATTCCTCCCACTGATACCAATGATGGGGCGCTATTCCTCCCACTGACACCAATGATGGGGCACTATTCCTCTCACTGATACCAATGATGGGGCACTATTCCTCCCACTGACACCAATGATGGGGCACTATTCCTCCCACTGACACCAATGATGGGGCACTATTCCTCCCACTGATACCAATGATGGGGCACTATTCCTCCCACTGATACCAATGATGGGACACTATTCCTCCAACTGACACCAATGATGGGGTATTATTCCTCCCACTGATACCAATGATGGGGCACTATTCCTCTCACTGACACCAATGATGGGGCACTATTCCTCCCACTGACACCAATGATGGGGCACTATTCCTCCCACTGATACCAATGATGGGGCACTATTCCTCTCACTGACACCAATGATGGGGCACTATTCCTCCCACTGACACCAATGATGGGGCATTATTCCTCCCATTGACACCAATGATGGGGCACTATTCCTCCCACTGACACCAATGATGGGGCACTATTCCTCCCACTGATACCAATGATGGGGCATTATTCCTCCCATTGACACCAATGATGGGGCACTATTCCCCCCACTGATACCAATGATGGGACACTATTCCTCCCACTGACACCAATGATGGGGCACTATTCCTCCCACTGATACCAATGATGGGGCACTATTCCTCTCACTGACACACAATGATGGGGCACTATTCTCCCACTGACACCAATGATGGGGCATTATTCCTCCCATTGACACCAATGATGGGGCACTATTCCTCCCACTGACACCAATGATGGGGCACTATTCCTCCCACTGATACCAATGATGGGGCATTATTCCTCCCATTGACACCAATGATGGGGCACTATTCCTCCCACTGACACCAATGATGGGGCACTATTCCTCCCACTGATACCAATGATGGCGCACTATTCCTCCCACTGACACCAATGATGGGGCACTATTCCTCCCACTGATACCAATGATGGGGCACTATTCCTCCTACTGACACCAAAGATTGGTCACTAATCCTCCCACTGACAACCAGTGATTACTCCCCCCTAATACCAATGATCTGGCACTGTTCACTCCCACTGACACCAGCACATTTTCTGCTCCCACTGGCCACAATCTGACCCCCCTAACATTTGCAGGACAGCAAACTGATCCTTTATTTATAAAGTTTGGATCCCCCTGCTCTATAGTATTCCTCTTCTTCCTCCGGCTGCTACATAAAAGGTTTTGTTGGGAGGTGAGGGGATGGTCTTAGGAGCTGGGCCAGCACAGAGAGTATCAAATCCAAGTTGGTGGCACCCAGCAGCAGTCTCTTGGCTTCTGAGCAGAAAGGTGGAGGCCACCATGATGGAGGAAGACCAGAGCGAACTTACCTGCTGGCCACTAGTTGGATCTGCAGAGATGGAAGAAACACGGATTTACTGAACTCGAAGTCCAGCCGGAACGCCACCTGAGAGACGGAGACACACAAACTGAGATCGAGGCGACACACGTGCAGAACAAAGAGAAAAAAAAATGGTTTTGTTTCGGATCGATTCACTTAGTTACTACATTCTTTTCGTTGCATTCGTAAGGAAATTCGTTTCCCTTCGTTTATTCGTTTTCAGATTTTCTCCAATGGATTCAAATCCTATTCTAATCAGAAGTATTGAATCGATCCGAATTCAATGTGAAGAGTAGCTGGTTCTTTTCTTTTCGAAAATCAAATTGTTTTTTCTATTCTATTCTATTTTATATTTTTTCTTTTCTATTCTGTTTTATTCTATCCTTTTATTTTGCCTTCTATTTTATTCTATTCTATTTTAAATTCTGAACGCAGCTATATTTTTTCTATTTTATTCTAGTCTTTTCTAATATATTCTTTTTTTTCTATTCTATTTGTTTCTTTTGTATTCTTTTATTTTCTGTTCTTTTCTTTCCTATTCTATTCCTTTAATTTCTATTGTATTTTTTTTCTCTTTTATATTTTATGCTTTTATTTTCTATTCTGATCTGTTTATTCTATTATATTCTAATCTAAGATGGTTATATTCTTTCTATTTTATTCTATTCTTTTTGAAATTCGAATTGCGAAATTCAAATTTTGGAAAACAGCTATATTCTATTCTATTCTTTTTTTTTCTATTCTATCTATTCTATTCTATTTTTTTTTCTAATTTATTCTGTTCTAATCTACTCTTTTATATTCGATTCTGTTTTATTCTGTTATTTTTTTTCCCATTCTATTATTTTCTATTCTATCCCTTTATAAACTAATTTGGGTGACAGTATGTTAAAAAACACGCACGTTCAGAACGCGGCTACTCAGTCCGGCGGGCACATCATCCAGTTCTGTAGTGCTGTTAGCAGTTTGCTTACCTTGGCCTTTGCTCTGAAGAACGGGAAGCTGACATTGCACATCTTGCTGCGTGGGATTCGATCGTCATTCTTGCACTCGATCTTGATGTCTGACTCCTCCTGCAGGACACACACAGGAATACAAATATTGGTTTTATACATCTACCTATCATGGCCGGATCTAGGCTGATCTGATGTGGGGGTGCAGTAGGAAAAAAAGTCAGGGGGCACAATGTCAACACTGTGTGTGTCACTGACAGTCTGTCACATGGTGTCAGGCCTGGGAAACACTAGTATGTCTGATGCGGTAATTAGATTATGGTGAATAAACAGAACATGTGCCCCCTTATATCAGATGTCCAGATCAAAGTCCCTCTTTACATCAGGTGACCCCATCAGAGTGACCCCTTACATCCCGTGACCCCGTCAGAGTGCCCCCTTACATCACGTGCCCCCTTACATCAGGTGACCCCATCAGAGTGCCCCCTTACATCAGATGACCCCATCAGAGTGCCCTCTTACATCAGGTATCCCCATCAAAATGCCCCCTTACATCAGGTGACCCCATCAGAATGCCCCCTTACATCAGGTGACCCCATCAGCATGCCCCCTTAAATGAGGTGTCCCTATCAGAGTGCCCCCTTACATCAGGTGCCCCCTCAGAGTGCCCCTTCACATCTGGTGTCCCCATCAGAGTGCCCCCTTACATCACATGACCCCATCAGAGTGCCCCCTTACATCAGGTGACCCCATCAGAGTGTCTTCTTACATCAGGTGTCCCTCTCAGAGTGCCCCCTTACATCAGGTGACCCCATCAGCATGCCCCCTTACATCAGGTGACCACATCAGTGTGCGCCCTTACATCACATGTCCCTACTAGAAAGCCCCCTTACATCAGGTGACCCATCAGAGAGTCCCCTTACATCAGGTGTCCCTAGCAGAAAGCCCCCTTACTTCAGGTGTCCCCATCAGAGAGCTTCCTTACATCAGGTGACCCCATCAGAGTGCCCCCTTACAACAGGTGTCCCTAGCAGAAAGCCCCTTTACATCAGGTGACCCATCAGAGAGTCCCCTTACATCAGGTGTCCCTAACAGAAAGCCCCCTTACTTCGGGTGTCCCCATCAGAGAGCCCCCTTACATCAGGTGACCCCATCAGCATGCCCCCTTGCATCAGGTGTCCCCATCAGAGTGCTCCCTTACAACAGGTGTCCCTAGCAGAAAGCCCCCTTACTTTGGGTGTCCCCATCAGAGAGCCCCCTTACATCAGGTGACCCCATCAGAGTGCCCCCTTGCATCAGGTGTCCCCATCAGAGTGCCCCGTTACGTGGATTGTCCCCATCAGCATGCCTCCTTACACCAAGTACCTACATCAGACTGGCTCATGGATTAGTGGATGCACTCTCAGAGACCTGGGGGGGGGGCACAACTAAAATCTGGTGGGGGAATTACTAAAGGCAAACATACTTTTGACTTTGCAACATGGAAAGTGACACCCCTTATGTTGGCCACGGCTGGTCTGCGGACCCCAAAAGAATCCTGAGGAGGAAAGTGTAGCAAACTTGCTCATCAGAGTGGAACGCGGAGTTCCCCTTTTTTTTTATTTAGAAGTATTCCTCGGTCCTTCATTCCCTACCCCCTCCCTTCCTGAGAGGCAAACGTTATATTGTGACAGATGGTGTGGGTCAACCCAGGTTAAGGCATCCTTAGTTCGGTGCCAGGCAGTCTGCGAAAGTGTAGCCTTCATCACCTAAAGTCCTGATAAGGCCAGGGTGACCCCAGAACTTGCAGTAGGCTCACCCATCATAAAACAGATAAGGCAGCTTCTCCCCGGAATTGAAAAAGATTGTAACCTCACAAAAACCGTTAAAGATGACAGAATGAAATGAACATTCCTCAAGTCAGGTTTTTTCCCCTATGTTTCATGTCATGGATTATGACAGATGTTGGTTCTAATTCAGAGTTCTCTCCGACTGACCCCTCCCAAAACAGAGTAGTGGCCAGTGTTCAGAGCCGCCCCCCCCCCCCCCCCTTGCAGAGGGATTTTAAAAAGACAGGCTGACAAGCCTAAGGGAAGCAAATCACATCTCCTGATCTTAACATCGTAATGGAGGAGATCAAAGACCCTTCCTGCTCTGCAACTTGGATCTGCTTACAAACCAAGGCGTATTGGCAAGTAGCTTAACCCTTTAACTTCCTTCCTGTTATCTCTTTGCTGTATCTTTATATGCATATATATATCTTAGTGACATCCCTTTGTAAATATTTTATTTCACCTGTTTAACACTTTCAGAAAGAAAGATTTATTACTAAAAGAGTCAAACTGTTTCTAAGCGCTTACTTGCAATTCACGAATTCCTGCCTTTGAAGAGACGCTACTGTTTGTTATAATCTCTGTATAACAGGTCTGCGGACCGTGTTGTATAGATCAATATTTCAATCATTATAGTGTATATTTGGTAACAGGAGTTTGCCAGTCTCCGACAAAAGTGGTGGTGGCAGTAGAGGGTTAGTTGCATAATTAACCCGACCCAGTAACAAGCGTATTTAGGCTGCAGGCACCGATTGTAGTCCATTAGCTGGGCAATCGCTGTGTAGGGTGCAGCTGAGTGTGGCCTTGTTACGCGCGTCACACCACAGTTTTAGATCGGCCGGTCCTTTGGTCACGAGTTTGGTGAGAAGATCTGGGGTCTGACACCGCGGGCGTGACGTATTATTGTTGGTCGCGGTCGTGCGATTGTCGCATGTTGGTGGCGGCGATCGTGCGATCGTGACAGAAAGTTCCAGGTGGTTTAACTCTCCAGCATCTACAGAAACTGAAATATCTGTTCTATGTGGTGTGGCCCTTTAAGCTAACAGGCCATCCAGCACCAGATCATGGCTGGATAGATACAATTTATTGCATTTCTTAGCTGGTGTCATAGAAAGAATGAATCCTGATTGTAAATAAAGTCCAAACAATCTTCTGCCCATTTATGGGACGGATGATGGAATGGAGAGAACAACCACACAGAACATTTGGTGAAAATCCAAATCCAGTGCTGTACCATTGGCAGGACCATTGGCAGGAAGCTTCTACGATGGATCCGTTCTCTCCATTATACCTCCTCTGCCATGACCTCAACACTGAGAACATTGAAGAGTATCCTAACCTTCACCTGGACTAATGACCATCACGGAGATGTTTTTCAGTTTGCTCGGCACATTTCTGGAGCTATTATTCTACAGCCATTTCCAACCAGTTTTGGAAATTGGAAAAAAACATCATTAAACAATTTGTAGAATAAGACTGGTGGTGGTCAGAAGGAGGTGGAGGTGGTTAGAAGGAGGTGGAGGTGGTTAGAAGAAGGTGGAGGTGGTCAGAAGGAGGTGGTCAGAAGGAGGTGGAGGTGGTTAGAAGGAGGTGGTGGTGGTGTAGAAGGAGGTGGACAGAAGGAGGTGGAGGTGGTTAGAAGGAGGTGGTGGTGGTCAGAAGGAGTTGGTGGTGGTCAGAAGGAGGTGGAGGTGGTCAGAAGATCTGTCTTCAAATTATGGCCACATCTGGCCTACTACAAGATTTTATCCAGCCCACAGCTAGGGGTAGTGGTGTATCCCCAATGTGTTCAGATTGAAGAACACGTGGGGACTCACTATGGCCAACTGGTGGCCCTCCAGCTGTCGCCAAACTACAAGTCCCATGAGGCATTGCAAGATTGACAGTTACAAGCATGACTCCCAAAGTCAGAGGCATGATGGGACTTGTAGTTTCGCAACAGCTGGAGGGCCGCCAGTTTGACACCCGTGCACTATGATCTCCCCTTCAACTACTCCCCCCCCCCCCCCATTCCTACAACCCTCAATAGGATAATAATGGTGTCCATTTTTAATGGTTGAACTGGATGGACCTTTGTCTTTTTTTTCAGCCAGACTAACTATGTAATTATTGTAAGGGAGGACACTGATATAAAGGGGGACTCTAAAAGTGACCCTGATGTTAGAAGAGATTTTGATGTACGGGAGACTCTGATGGGGACCATGATGTAAGGGGAGGCTCTGATGGGGACCATGATGTAAGGGGAGGCTCTGATGGGGACCATGATATAAGGGGAGGCTCTGATGGGGACCATGATATAAAGGGAGGCTCTACTGGGACCATGATCTCGGGGGAGGCTGTGATAAAGACAATGATCTCAGGGGAGGCTCTGATGGGGACCCTGATGTAAGGGGAGGCTCTGATGGGGACCATTAGTGTCAGTGGGAGGAATAGTGCCCCATCATTGGTGTCAGTGGGAGGAATAGTGCCACCAATGATGATGGGGCACTATTCCTTCCACTGACACCAATGATGGGGCACAATTCCTCCCACTGACACCAATGATGGGGCGCTATTCCTCCCACTGACACCAATGATGGGGCACTATTCCTCACACTGACACCAATGATGGGGCGCAATACCTCCCACTGACACCAATGATGGGGCACTAATCCTCCCACTGACACCAGTGATGGGGCACAATTCCTCCCACTGACGCCAAAGAAGGTGCAATGTTTTTTTCCCCACTGACACCAGGACCTTTTCTACTCCCAATGGCCACAGTCCTACCCTCCTATAGTCTTAAGGACAATAAACTGGCCCTTTGTTTAGAAAGTTTGGAGAGCCCTGCTCTAAAGACTGTTATATTTATATTTTACAAAATATTATTCATTTTGCTCTATGGCATGGTGTCCCTGCTGGCCAAAATGCTGCAGGATTTCTCTGGATTGAGACCTCGCTGTTTCATCCAATGAGGCAGTGAGGCCGTAGAAAACAGGTTAGAAGTTTTTAGTGTTTTTTTTGCCCTTGTTACTATCACAAGGGAGACTTAAGCCTCACATTGCTTTGACCATTACTCACAATAAACCGGCCTGTCCATGTCTGTTGTCATGTCTGTTGTCCATGTCCATGTTGTTGTCCATGTCTGTTGTCCATGTCTGTTGTCCATGTCTGTTGTCCATGTCTGTTGTCCATGTCCATGTCTGTTGTCCATGTCTGTTGTCCATGTCTGTTGTCCATGTCTGATTGTCCATGTCTGTGTCCATGTCCCATCTCTGATGTCCATGTCTGATGTCCATGTCTGATGTCCATGTCTGATGTATATTTACCTTTTGGATCAAGCTGGCAAACTGCAGGTTTGGAGAGTGGGAAATATTGAGCACGGTGCTGTATGCGTTCTCCCCTCGGTTCTCAAGTGTCACCTCCAGGGCCACTCGCCTTCTGCTCCCTTCAATGATGAACACGGAGTTGTCAAATGATCTAGTGAAGGTATTGCAGCCTGATGGGGATCTCCGTAGAGAGCGCTGGCAGAACTCCCTGAGAGCACAGACAGTTGGAAAGAAAATGTCAGCAATTTCAAAAAATATGAAATCAACAATACATACTGTGTCTGTGAAGGTTCTCCTCTATCCAGGTCACAGTAAACCTAGTAGTAGTAGTTGGTCACATTCAGCTTTACTTGTTTTGGAAGGTTGAAGTGGTTTCTTAGCTTGGCCAAGCCACTTCTTCAGTTCTAATGAATGTCAGGAAGACAGCTCAGCATTTATATCCACTCATTAAGGCACCATAATCCTGGGGACTCCAGACTTTGTGGGCCATATTGTATATTTTACAATTATTCATGGGACATTAAAAAAATAAATTCCTCATCAGAGTTCCACTTTACAACATGGTCCCCAATAGAGTTCTCCTTACATAAGGTTCCCCATTGGAGTCTTCCTTACATTAGGGTCCCCATTAGAGTTCTCTTTACATCAGGAGGATTCCCTCTAGAGTCCTCCTTACATCAGGATCCCCACTGGAGTCCTCCTTACATCAGGGTTCCCATTGGAGTTCTCCTTACCTCAGGGTCCCCATTAAGTTTTCCTTACATCAGGGTCCCCATTACAGTCCTCCTTACATCAGGATCCCTTCTGGAGTCCTCCTTACATCAGGATCTCCACTGGAGTCCTCCTTACATCAGGTCCCCACTGGAGTCCTCCTTACATCAGGGTTCCCACTGGAGTCCTCCTTACCTCAGGGTCTCCACTGGAGTCCTCCTTACATCAGGATCCCCATTAGAGTTCTCCTTACATCAAGATCCCAATTGGAGCCCTCCTTACATCAGGGTCCTCATTAAAGTCCTCCTTACATCAGGGTTCTCATTAAAGTCCTCCTTACATCAAAGTCCCTATTGGAGTCCTCCTCACATCCGGGTACCCATTGGAGTCCTCCTTACATCAGAGTCCTCATTAAAGTTCTCCTTACATCACCGACCCCAGACTGCGCTTGGGTACTTGCATTAGACTACTGCTTGCCCGTCCAAACACTGACCACAGACACCACAGCGGACCATACAAGACTAGACGACACCAGTCTTGAAGTAATCCAGAAAGTAGACTAGTTTATTTGAACACAGATACAAGATATATACACTTAGGGGAGAAGGGAACAACCCCCCCTCCCTGCATAATGACACAGGGCGGGGGGCAATCTACATTTAGTAACAAGAGGTACTCCAACAGACAGTCCCATCAGGAGGGAGGGCTGCTGGAGACACCCCCCACCAAGCCAATACCCATAAACACATACATCCCATAAAAGTTTGCACCCACGCAAGACACACAATAGCACAATGGGATGCAACCACATGACACCAAACAATCCACAACCCCCCACCCCACCTATCTCCTAGACACGTCTACACAATATTAGGACAGATCACCCTGTACCCCTAACAGGCACAGGGTGACTTACACATAAGAGGGATATGGGGAGCTGAGACAGGGGTCTCCCAACCTCTCCAAAGTAAGCTGTGTTCCATGGGCCCCCCACCGAAAGTGACTCCCGTCACAACCATGTTTTACCGCTTATTGTTGTGTTTTTCAACATTAGAGCGTTTTTCCAGCTCAAAAAACTCCTCTAGAAGCCCACTAGTTCTGGGTTTTTTTTTCCAGCCAAAAAACGTTGATTCCAGTCTGTATGTGTATGGATACAGAGGATAACATGCTGGGGGGTTTACTGGCTGTAGAAAAAAAACGTCAAAAGCCAAAAACAGCCGCTGTAAAAACGTCCCGTGTGCAGGAGGACTCAACATGTAGACATTCTTTGTCGATTGGATTATGATGGGTATGGATATAAGTATTGGGGTATCTTCCTGACATGCATTGGATCTGCAGAAGTGGCTTAGAAAAGCATTTCAGAACAAGTCCAGTTGAATGTGGCTAACTACTACCAGCCAGTGGCATCCCTAGGCAGATGCTGGTGTAGGTATGCGCCAGCACCGGGTGACACCTACCGCACAGGGTAGCACCAGACCCGCTCCACCAAAATGTAAGTTGTAAAGCAAGCCAACGATCCTCGCAGGATGGATCGGATCTGCGGATTGAGCATAATGGATCGGAGTCCAATCCATTATGCTCCCCAATCTGCAGATCCCATCCATCCTGCGGGGATCGTCGTCTTGCTTTACAACTTACCTTTTGGTGGAGCGTGTCCTGTGTCACCCGTATAGGTTGCATGCCAACAATTCCCGTAGGATGGATCGGATCTACAGATTGGGGAGGATAATAGATCGGACTCCGATCCATTATGCTCAATCCGCATATCCGATCCATCCTGCGGGGATCGTCGGCTCGCTTTACAACTTACCTTTTGGTGGAGCGTGTCCGGTGTCACCCCGTATAGGTTGCATGCCAACGATCCCCGCTGGATGGATCAGATCTGTGGATTGGTGAGCATAATGGATTAGAGTCCGATCCAATATGCTCAATCTGCAGATCCGATCCATCCTGCGGGGATCGTCGGAGGGGGTGTCACCAAGTGTTATCGCACCGGGTGACACCAACCCTAGGGACGCCTCTGCTACCAGCCAGTTCAACAATAAAAAGTACAAATGGATCTTGTTATCTGGAGTGAATTGTAGTCAAACACAACATATTTGGAACGCGGTGGTATTGTTTTGCTTCCCTTGACACACAATGAGATTGTATCATGATGGAATTTATAACAAAGTCAAACACATCCGATTATTAGGATCTCCTCAGACGGGAACACCAGAGCTTCCAATAGAAACTTGCGTCATAAAATGAAATAAATACCTCCCTACACTATAAAACTGAAAGCATGTCTACATTAATCTGTCACATGTGGGGCCAGATCAAAGCTTCACCGAAGCAAGACTTCTCAAGGCGGTGCAGCTGTTATCCTGTGATCGGCGGTGGAAAATCAGCCGTTTTGGCCCATAGACAATACGTGGAGACGAGCCTCTTGACAATGCAATCGGGTTGATTTAGAGATTTACATGCCGCTCACTCAGCATTGGGAATGTGCACTTGGCTTAGTGAGTAAGGTGAAGCTGTTGTCACCTCAATCACCCCATACAAACATAAATCCATTTTTTTCCCCCTTGCACATTATTGGGAATTTAAAGTGAACACAGCTTCACCTTATTTATTAAAGTGATATTAAATACTTGATCCAGGGAATATCCGATCGCCTCTCGGGGGATCAGGAAGGAATTTTTTTTTTCCCAGCAGGAGCAAATTGGATCATGCTTTGCTGTTTTTTTTTGCCTTCCTCTGGATCAACTGTGGTCAGGGGCGTATGTACCACAAGGCAAACAAGGCACTTGACTGGGCTGCATTTTTCAGGGGGGCAGCACCTCCCCTCAGAAAAAGGGATGAAAGAAGGGATATATACGTGCCATGGGAACTAGGTGGGATCCAAGAGAGGCTGCGGGCTGCTTGATGGTGTACAAGTGAAACTTGAAAAATTAGAATATGGTGCATTCATTCATTTATTTCGGTGCAGCAACTTAAAAGGTGAAACTAATATATGAGACTCATTCCATGCAAAACAAGATAGTTCAAGCCGTGATTTGTCATCATTGTGATGATTATGGCTTACAGCTCATGAAAACCCCAAATCCACAATCTCAGAAAATGAGAATATTGTGAAAAGGTGGAATATTCTCGGCTCAAAGTGTCCCACTCTAATCAGCTCATTCAGCCATAACACCTGCAAAGTGTTCCTGAGCCTTTAAATGGTCTCTCAGTCTGGTTCAGTAGGAATCACAATCATGGGAAAGACTGCTGACCTGACACCATCACTGACACCCTCCATAAGGAGGGAAAGCCTCAAAAGGGAATTGCAGAAGAAGTTGGATGTTCCCAAAGTGCTGTATCAAAGCACATTAATAGAAAGTTATGTGGAAGGGAAAAGTGTGGAAGAAAAAGGTGCACAAGCAGCAGGGATGACCGCAGCCTGGAGAGGATTGTCAGGAAAAGGCCATTCAAAAGTGTTGGGGACTTTCACAAGGAGTGGACTGAGGCTGGAGTCAGTGCATCAAGAACCACCACACACAGAGGGATCCTGGACATGGGCTTCAAATGTTGTATTCCTCTTGTCAAGCCGCTCATGAGCGACAAACAACGTCAGAAGCGTCTTACCTGGGCTAAAGAAAACCAGACCTGGTCTGTTGCTCAGTGGTCCAAAGTCCTCTTTTCTGATGAGAGCAACTTTTGCATCTCATTTGGAAACCAAGGACCCCGAGTATGGAGGAAGAATGGAGAGGCCCAAGGACCCAGAGTATGGAGGAAGAAAGGAGAGGCACAAGGACCCCGAGTATGGAGGAAGAATGGAGAGGCCCAAGGACCCCGAGTATGGAGGAAGAATGGAGAGGCACAAGGACCCCGAGTATGGAGGAAGAACAGAGAGGCCCAATGACCCCGAGTATGGAGGAAGAATGGGGAGGCCCAAGGACCCGAGTATGGAGGAAGAATGGAGAGGCCCAAGGACCCAGAGTATGGAGGAAGAATGGAGAGGCCCAAGGACCCCGAGTATGGAGGAAGAATGGAGAGGCCCAAGGACCCCGAGTATGGAGGAAGAATGGAGAGGCCCAAGGACCCCGAGTATGGAGGAAGAATGGAGAGGCCCAAGGACCCAGAGGAGAAGAATGGAGGAAGAATGGAGAGGCCCAAGGACCCCAAGTATGGAGGAAGAATGGAGAGGCCCAAGGACCCCAAGTATGGAGGAAGAATGGAGAGGCACAAGGACCCGGAGTATGGAGGAAGAATGGAGAGGCCCAAGGACCCCCGAGTATGGAGGAAGAATGGAGAGGCACACACACTACAAGATGCTTGAAGTCCAGTCTGTGTTGATTTGGGGAGCCATGTCATCTGCTGGTGTTGGTCCACTGTGCTTCATTAAGTCCAGGGTCAACGCAGCCGTCTACAGGAGATTTTGGAGCACTTCATGCTTCCTTCCGCGGACGAGCTTTATGGGGATGCTGACTTCATTTTCCAGCAGGACTTGGCACCTCCCACACTGCCAAAAGC